TCAGCAGCAGAGGGGCTCTCCAAGGGCGGGTTTGGGGCAGTTTGGGTGGGTTTAGCTCAGTTTGGCTCAGTTTGACGGGGATTTCAATGCCCAGGTGTGCCCAGGTGTGCCCAGGTGAGCTCACCTGTGTGATCCTGCGGTAGGTATCAGCAGCAGAGGGGCTCTCCAAGGGCGGGTTTGGGGCAGTTTGGGTGGGTTTAGCTCAGTTTGGCTCAGTTTGGCTCAGTTTGATGGGGATTTCAATGCCCAGGTGTGCCCAGGTGTGCCCAGGTGAGCTCACCTGTGTGATCCTGCGGTAGGTGTCGGCGGCAGAGGGGCTCTCGAAGGGCGGGTGCCCGGCCAGCAGCTCGTAGCACAGCACCCCCAGGCACCACAGGTCGACCTTCTCATCATGGCTGCTGCCCTCCACCATCTCCGGGGGCAGGTAATCCAGGGTGCCACACAGGGTCCGGCGCCTGAGGGGTTAAACCACACCTGGGCACACCTGGACACACCTGGGCACTCACAGAACCCTCACACCTGGCTCAGGTAATCCCAGGTGATGCACAGAGTCTGGCACGTGAAGGGTTAAAAATGTCCCAGGTGTGTTCCCAGGTGTGTCCAGGTGTGTCCCACCTATCCCAGGTGTATCCCAGGTGTGTCCCAGGCGTGTCCCAAGTGTCCCCAGCTGTCCCCAGGTGTGTCCCAGGTGTGTCCCAGGTGTGTCCCAGGTGTCCCCAGGTGTCCCCAGGTGTCCCCAGGTGTCCCAGGTCTCACCTGAGGGAGGGGGCGTGCACGGACCACCCGAAATCCGCGATCTTGAGCTCCCCCTTGAGGCCGAGCAGGAGATTCTCGGGTTTGATGTCGCGGTGAATCACCTTGCGCCCGTGGCAGTACAGCAGCGCGTCCGCCAGCTCCTCCATCAGCTGCCAAAAACGGGGCCTCAGGGCACCCCAAAACCCCTCAGGGCACCCCAAAACCCCTCGGGAACCCCAAAAATGGGTTCGGGGCACCCCAAAACCCCCAGAGCAACCCCCAG